GAGGAGGAGTGGAAACAGGAACCGGGGAGGAAGTAGAGTGAGGGGTGGTGCACTGAGAACACAGTGATCAATCAGATGGGACCTTCTTTGTGAGACTCGGAGAACTGATCTACTTGGCAAACCTTCCCCCAACTCATGGTAAAAAATTAAAAAAAACGTATGATATATATTTTTAATGGAAAGGAAAAGCCGATGGAGCAGTTCAGCATGACAGCACATTTCTCCTGGTTCTTTTTGCAAGGCAGGGGGGCTAACTTCCACAGGCTGGTGCCCCCAGGAAGGAGCACAGTGCTTGAGTGCTTGGCCACTAACAGAAAGGCCAGTGGTTCAAACCCACCAGCGGCTCCATGGGAGGACAATGAGGCAGTGTGTTCCCACACAGACCACCACTCCCAAAGACCCACAGGGGTGGGAGTGGGGGCTTGATTCTGCCCTGGAGGGTCATGGTGACCACCCAAGGAGGAGTTTTGGTACTTGCTGGTCTTTCGAGGTGCCCATGGAGCTGTGAGACTCCTGCAGGTGAAAAGGCTGCAGACGCAAAGCAGCCAGTCACACGCACACAGTGGGGCTAGAACTCAGACGCTCTGCTCCCCAGCCCAGGGCCTGAGCAAGAAACAGTGAAGCCAAGAGTGTGGCCAAGACGGGGCAAGGGAAGAGGGAGGAGAACGGACAACAGAGGGTCTACCTGGAGGCAGGACGAGGGGGAGGGGACACAAATGAAGACAAGAAAAGCGTGGGTCCTCCGAGTCCAGGAGAGGCACGGCGTCACCTCCACCAACGACTGCCACCTCGGTCATGAGACCGCGAGAACTAAAGGGGGCCTGACTCCCGTGTACAGAGCAAAGCTGTGCTCCAGAGGGCTCTCAAGGGGCTCTAATCCTCAGGTCAGACGTTCAAACCCACCAGCTGCACCGAGGGAGGAACGAGGAGGCTGTTCCTGTGCAGTAGTTAAGCGCCCTACTGCTCACCACAAGTCTGTGGTCCCAGCGTTCCCAGCAGCTCTGTGGGAGGGAAGACCTGGGGCTCTGCTTCCATACGGATCCCCCAAACCGGAGTGGGGAGGGAGGGCATCAAGGGAGCTGATGCCAAGGAGTTCAAGAAGAAAGATGTTTGGAAACCGAAGGTGCTAGCTAGCCATTGAACACTGCTGCTTGAGATGGCGCTGGAGCTATGGGGTGTTATGACCTCTGTAAGAGCTCCCAGTAAAAGGATTAAAAACAAACAAGCAAAGCAAAAACCCACAACGACTGAGTGGATTCCAACTCAGGGTCACCCTGCTGGACGGAATGGAGCTGCCCCTCCACCCCCCAACACACACACACACACCCCTGTGTGGCAGCTGGCCAGAGCCAAACCAAACTCACTGCCTTCCAGCCGGTGCAGACTCAGCAACCCTCCAGGACGGAGTAGAGCGGCCCCTGGGGGTCTCTGAGACTCTAACACATTGGTTCTTAACATTATTTTCATTGCTACTTTGTAACTAATTTTGCTACTGTTATGAATCGACTGAACCATGTGAAAGGGTGGTTTGACTCCCAAAGGGGTCTCGACCCACAGGTTGAGAACCGGTGCTCTAACGCTTTACAGGAGGAGAAAGCCTCTGCTTTCTCCCTCAGAGCAACTGGCGATTTTGAACCTCTGACCTTCTGATTAGCAGCCAAACATTTCATGTACTGACTGCACTGCCAGGGTGCCCGACCCCCTAAGGATTAAAGCCTGGAAAACTCCGTAGGGCAGTTCTTCTTTGTCATACCAACCCCACCCCACTGCCATCTCCTCGCTCTGATTCGTAACAATCTGATATGGGGGTTTCCTAGAATTGTGAACCTTCACGGGAGCAGACAGCCTCCTCTTCCTCCCTCAGGCTGGCTGATGGGATTGAAAGGCTAACCTTGTGAGCAGCAGGTCAGCGCTTAACCCACCGGACCACCAGTCTCCCTCATTCTATCCATTGACCTGGCAGACCCTTAGCCACGATCTTATGGGAGCAGACCACCGGGCCTTTATTGTGAGGCATGCCGGGGTAGCTTTGAGCTGCCCGCTTTTCTGCTAGCAGCGGAGTGGTGGACCCAGGACACCACCCAGGGGTGCCCCGGGGTCAAGATACGATGGGGTTGGAGGAATTGATATCAAAGACTCAGGTAGAAAGAAAATGTTCTGTCCTGTTTTGAAAGGAAAAAAAATGTTTTGAGCAGGATGATGGCAACATAGGTACAAATGTGCTCGACACAATGGAGGGATGGATTGTCAGAAGAGCCGTCAGAGCCCCCAACAAAATGATTTATTAAAAAAAAAAAACTTGGGAAAAAAGAGTTGCTGATACCAAGGGCTCAATAGAAAGGAAATGTGTAGAAAAGAATGATGGCAACAGATGTACAAACATGCCTGATACCGTCGATGCATGGATTATAATCAGAGTTGTAAGAGCCCCCAATAAAATAATCTTTTAAGAAAAAAAGCAACAGCTTATACAGCGCTGAAAATGAAAACAAAACAAAGCAAACAAAAAACGATGCATGGTCCACGTTGCAGGGTACACCAAGGTCAATAGACTAACACAGCCCACAAAGACAATGACTAACACAGCCCACTAACAAAAGACTAACACAGCCCACTAACACAGCCCACAAAGATGCTCAACATCCTACTCTGGTGAGACCTGAGCCATCAATGGTGGAATGACCAGTCTCCTTGAAGACCTCCCGAAGGAAAAAAGAGTGCAAGTACATCAATGAGCCCAATAGATGAATGATGGACCACTCCTGTCTCCACAACCCTGAGACCAGATGAATGAGAGGATGCCAGCTACCACCCCAACTGCTCTGAAGGGTACCACAGTAGAAGGTATTAAGTTGAGTGATCCAAAAAATGTGTAATAATTGTTATAAGAGCTGAAAGAGCCCCCAATAAAATGATTTTTTTTAATGTGGAACAAAACTCAAAATCGTTAAAAAATGTAAAACTGACGGGAACTGCTGGTTGGATAGAGGCTGGTGGCACCCCCAAGACAACGTCCCTTAGTCACCCTGCGGGTCTGGAAATGCGTTCACCCCACTGGCTCGATTTCCAACCAAAGAGTAAACCCAAACTCACTGCCATTCAGTTGATGCCAACTCAAAACGATTCAGGGTAGAACTGCCCGCTGTGAGTTTCCCAGAGTAGAACTCTTTACAGGAGTTGAAAGCCTCCTCTTTCTCTCTCAGAGAGCGGCTGGTGGTTTCAAACCAGCGACTCTGCAGCTCACAGCTCAAGACGTAACCGCGACACCACCAGGGCTCCTAGCCCAACAGTAGGCAGGTCTTTAAGGGCAATGATTCAAGTAGCGAGACCCACACACCTTAGCATCAGCCACCATTGGAGATTTTAGAAGGGCGGCATTCACCCAAGAACTAAGTTCCAGAAGGGTAGGATAAGAGGAGGGTGCAGGGTGAGCCCCGGGGTTACATCATGGGGATGAAGATGCAACCCACCGCGAGAAGCCAGATGTGTGTGAGCTCTTGCACGGGCAGCGGGTCTGCTCGACAAACCTCCACCCGATTACAATAAACCATCAAAGCATAAAGTAAGAGAAGCTCCGAAGACTGGGAAAGACAGGGAAAGAAAATATAATGCTTTGGGGATGATCCAAAGATGAAGATGTGGTGCCGAGGGGATACTGGGTTGCTGTGAAGGATGATGGGAAAATCCCAGAAGGGAGATGGCGGAACTACATGCTGAGACTGAATGAACACCCCCGATGGTGACATGGGAAGATGGGGGAAGAGGCAGGTGATGTGTCATCGGAGAGCCCCGGTGGCCAAGAGGTTCCACACTGGGCTGCCAACTGCAAGGTCAGCAGTTCAGTGCCACCGGACGCCCCGTGGGAGACAGGTGGGTAAAGACTTAGAGTGTCGCTTAAACACACACCATAAGAAGACAAATGACAAACAATCATATTGATGTGAATGAGGGGGAGCGCAGAGTGGAGACCCAAAGTCCATCTGTAGACAATTGGACATCCCCTTACAGAAGGGCCACAAGGAAGAGATGAGTCAGTCAGGGTGCAGTATAGCATCGACGAAACACACAACTTTCCTCTAGTTCTTTAATGCTCCCCCACCCCCAACCCACTATCATGACCCCAGTTCTACCTTACAAATCTGGCTGGACCAGACCATGTACAGATAGGAGCTGGAAACATAGGGAATCCAGGATAAATAAACCCCTCAGGACCAGGCATGTGAGTAGCAATACCAGGAGGGTAAAGGGAAGGTGGGGGTCGAAAGGGGGAACAGATCACAATGATCTACATATAACTCCCCCCAGGGGGACAGACAACAGAAAAGTGGGTCAAGAGAGATGCAGAGACACCCCCCACCCCACCCCACACACACACAGGACAGAGCATAGTTGTCCCCCCCAGGGCTTCCATGGCTGTAATCTTTACAGGAGCAGACAGCCTCATATGTCCCCAGAGGAGTGGCTAGTGGGTTTGAACCTCTGACCTTGAAATGTGCTGCCTCCCGAAATGTGCTGCCTGGGCTCCGATTGTCCCCAGGGCTGCAAGACCGGACCAGGTGGGTGGGGGTGAGGGGGGTGAAGAAAGGCCAGGAGCTTGGGTGCCCAGAGAAGAGACAGGGATGATAGTGGGGTGTGAATGGGGGAGGGGGGGGCTCTAAGAAGTTGAGTGGCGGGCTCTGGGGGACTGGATGGGGGGTTTCTAGGGGTGTGAATGAGGGTCTCTGGGGGTGTCATGAGAACTCTGGGCATGTGAATGGTGGTTGGGGGTGCTCTGCTGGGTGTGAGTGGAGACTCTGGGTTGAGTGGTGGGCTCTGGGGGATTGAATGGGGCTCGGCCCAGGGCATGAATGGGGAGCCCTGGGAGGCATTGATAGAGGGACCTGAGGGAGCATTCATGGGGGGTGGGTTGTGTGAGTGGGGGGCAGGTTCTGTGAGTGGGGGGCCCTGGGCAGAGAAGGGGGTAGGGGGCTGGGAAGGGCAGTGGTCCGAGGCAGGCCTACCTTCCAGGCAGCAGATCCTCCATAGACCAGAGTGCGTGAGGCCCCCAGGGTCCTTCTTGTCGCTGGCCCCTGGCCCGCGGGAGGGCGGCCCGTCGTCGCTGCCGGCCGTGAGGTTGGTGGTGTTGCAGATGAAGGCGCGCGTGTACAGCCAGTAGTCGGTGCTGATGGCGATGGTCATGAGGCCGAAGGCGGCGAAGGCGCCCACCGTGGTCACCAGCACCTGCAGCCCCTTCTCGCACCACAGCCCCCGCTCCTCGTTCCAGCG